CTGCGGTCCCGGGCACGCACCAGATGGCACTGCGTCCTTCCACTGCTCCGCAGCGTGTCCCTTTGCCGTCTCCTTCGGAGTCCTCTCTTCCTGCTCTTGCTGACCCGGAGTCGGACTCTCTTCGCGCTGCCAGTCCTACTGTCACGCGTCTCCTGGCTACTGTTGTCACCGACCCTTCCTTTGAGTCCACTGCTGCGTCTGCCTTAGTTGCTGAGTTAGTTCACTGGGTCGTTTCCTCCGGGTACCCAGTGGAGCCTACGGCGGCCAGTCTACGGTCTCCGCCAGGCGCCGCGTGAAAGGCACGACACACTGAGGACTACACTTGCGGCTCTTGGGTTTGCTCCTTCTACTGCCGACCCGTCGCTGTTTCTACGCACCGACACCTCTTTGCCGCCGTTCTACATCCTCGTGTACGTCGACGACATGGTCTTTGCTACTGCTGACACTGCTGGACTCGCCCACGTGAAGTCTGTTGTGTGATGCAATCATATGCATTCACGTCTGTCTGCCTCCCATCATATGTTCGTGCGTTGCATGCGTGGTGTGAGCGTGTGCAAGAATTTATGTTTTGTGCGGTTTGGTTTTTCTGAGAATGTGTGATTGTTATTTGGCTTGAGCATATATCTGAAGTGACTCCTCTGCTCAAGAGCTTTCCGACGAACCAAGTATCGCTTCAATCGGAGCACGAACAAGAAAGTTACGAACGTTGGAGTTCGTATGCTTTTGATATTTGGTTGTGGTGACTGTCGGACGTTGTGGGGTTGACTCAATATGGGGTACAGACTTTTGGGGGTTGGGAAATTCGTCTTTTCTACTGTAGTTGCTGCCAAATGGTTGGGAGAAACCAAAACCAGGTTGGCAAGTGTGGCCAAGTTGGGTTGAGGTGGATTGTGGAGGTTGGGATAGTGACAAAGGTCAAAGTTGGGTTGCCTATGGGGAAGGGAATTGTGTGGCATGGAGTTTCCTTTGGTTGGGGACTCCTTGGGACCTTCCCTCTCGTCCTCCTCATCCCTTCCACCTGGTTTAGTGCTACTCTAACTCTCTTGTGTAGTAATTGTGAACATGTGTGAACTTTGTGATTGAGTTAAGATTCTATGGCAGCATACCCCCTAGTGAGCCGAAACTAATACCTCAAGAAATACTTCACCATATTGTACGATTCAAATTGGTAATTGTAGCCACAGACTAGGGATACAACATATCTGAGTTTGGTGAAGTTTAAACTGTGAAAGTTTTGTCGACGGCGTTTCTTGTGAACTCGACTATTATGTCCAGAAACTAGGCCCAACAATTTTGTGATATTTCGGCTCCTAATCTTCATAGACTCCGTCCTTAGTCTCTAACAAAGTCCGAGCTGCAGAAGAGACACACGTGCACAGACCTGGGTGAATTGCGCAGCTACCTTGGCTTGTAGATCACCCGGGATAGAGCACGGCGCACCATTACCCTGACTCAGTCACACATGGTGCAACAGGTCCTTCAGTGCTTCGACTTCACGTACTCCTCACCTCAGGCCACTCCTCTGTCTACTCGCCACTCGCTCTCAGCTTTGCCTTTGGATGAGTCCATAGAGCCGAGTGGCCCGTATCCAGAGCTTGTTGGCTGCCTCATGTACCTGATGCCCTGCACTCGACCTGACCTTGCATACCCTCTTAACATCTTGGAACGCTATGTTGCTCCTGGGAGACACAGACCAGAGCACATGGCTGCAGCAAAGAGGGTGTTGCGCTACCTGTGCAGTACGTCGGGCATGGGGCTTGTGCTTGGAGGGCGGAGTCCAGTGGTCCTCACTGGTCACGCAGACGCTTCTTGGGCTGACGACCAGGCTACACAGCGGTCGTCACAGGGTTACACCTTCAGCCTTGGTCCCGGCTCTGTTTCGTGGCGGTCTACCCGCTCGTCTTCTGTTCTCGGCTCCAGCTGTGAGGCTGAGATCTACGCAGGGGCCATGGCTGCACAGGAGTTACCTGCTGACTGACCTAGGAGAGCCGCCTCGTTCTCCTCCAGTTCTGTACGTAGACAACAAGGTCATGCTGGCCTTGTGTCGGGAGCACAGACTGGAGCACAGAACGAAGCACATTGCTCTTCGCTACTTCCTTGCTCGTGAGCTGCAGCAGCGTGGTCAGCTGCGCCTTGCTTACGTGGCCTCTGAGGCCAACACTGCTATGAATGGGTTGTGACTGTGTGGCATCAGCAATCGGCGTTCCTTTTAGTGATGACATTCGCCTTTTCAGTTGCCTCTACTGCTCGCGTTCGGGCAGCATGAAGAATTTTGGCAAACTCTTGCGCTCGTTGTGTAGGGTTGGCCGGGCTCGGTGTCATGGGCAGTGCAAGGTTTTGCCCACAGTTTAGGTAAAACGGCGATTGCTGGATGGTTTTTGTTAGAGACTAAGGGTCTACGAAGATGTCACTGGTCGAGGAGAAACATGTCATGAAGGGTGTTCGGTCGCCCACTTTGCGCGGATGTCCAGTTCGACGACCTCCAAAGGAAGGCTCGGCCTGAACTCACCAGCCTCGTGGCTTCTCCTCACATCAGCCAAACATGTGTCCAGACTATCTTCTACCGGGCCGGGAACTACAGGGACAGGCGTCATGGTTGTTATAGTCACAATAGGCTTCAAGGTGCCTAAAGCGAAAGATAGAGAACACAGTCGGATTCCTGCACAGCGGCTTTAAACGTTCATAGCGTTCTGGTCACAGCTTCAAATGACCTGATTGAAATTGGATCTGGATTGCTTGACGTCGCCTAGCCTTGAAATTGAAATTAAATCTCACGATTTCACCAAGTATTGATGACACGGCATTGGTTTGAACGGACGGCACTATGGCAGCCACTATAGTCTTGGAATACAAGATAGGAAGAGTTAGGGAGAGTTGGGAATGATTCCCAGCTCCTACAAACCCCAAGAGCCGAGGTACAGTTATGTGGAACAGTGCCACACTGTCCCCACCCACGAAGGGTCTCGAAACTACCCTTCACTAGGGCCTATACCAAGTGAAATGTTGCACTACACTAAGTAATGTAACTATCTTCAATTTCTTGAGGTATACCTTTTTGGCGAGCTTCGAGATCACTTGAGTCTTGACACCAAGGCTCGGGTTCTTCATCACAAACTCAACCTTGAGTTCTTGATGGGTCTGGTGCACACACCTGCGACACGCCGAACGTTCGACACAGGACAAAATAGAAACCGCGCGCGACACACAAGTGATCAAATAAAAACCACGTGGGACACACAAAATGACTGCGTAACACGAGACTAGCGATAACTCGCTATTGACTCGACACACACACACACTTGACATCATGACCCATCATTCACACTATTATAAGCATGAAATATATATTATCCCATGCCCTCATACCATTCCATGCACACATGCATGCACGCACGCGGACAACAAGCCGAGTGCAAACCGTAGGATTGCACCAACAATGGTCACACGTGCTGTCGGCCTATGAACGACTTAGTAGGTGTGAAAGTTGGCTCCTATTTGAAAGGTAATTTGCGGGGCCGTCCACGCTCACCGCACCATGTGGAGACAAACTATTACAATGGAAGCTAGATTACGGGGAAGGGAAGGCTCGGCCCGAACTCACCAGCCTCGTGGCGTCTCCTCGCATCATCCAAACGTGTCTCCAGACTATCTTCTACCGGGCCGGGAACTACCGGGACAGGCGTCATGGTTACACGTGCTGCCGGCCAACGAACAACTTAGTAGGTGCAACAGTCGGCTCCTATTTGAAGGTAATTTGCAGGGCCGTCCACGCTCACCGCACCATGTGGAGATAACTACTACAACGGGTCCTAGATTACGGGGAAGGCACGGGTGTAGGAGTGATCGTAGCGTTCCTTAGTCGTTTGCTTGTGTTCTCTCTACTTGCACATTCAAAGGGAGAATTGGCAAAGGTTTCACTAGCAAAAGTTCACAACAATGATAGCAACAAAGTTGGCAAGCAAGACTACATCAGATGCTCGCAAGCATGCAGGTCGACTGCCAGCGCAGCATGGTCGACCGCGTTCCAGCACTGCATTGTTGACTGCGCTCCAGCAGTGCAAAGTCGTGGTCTACCAACGCCGCAAGTCGACGGCGTGCCAACGCTGCAGCAGGGCGGCTGCACAGCGTTGCACCCGCAAGACAGCAGCGCACCCGCTTCGCAGGTGCTCGCAGTTGATTGGCGTGTTGTGCCTCGTCACCTGCACAGAGCAGACACCAAATCGTCCACGCGGAGCTGGTCATCTTCGGGGTGGGAGCAAAGTTCTGGAAGAACTTGACCCCCTGTCTCTGTGTGAAGCCTCATGCAACGTAACGCGCCTTGAAGGCAGGCGGAGACCCCGGCGGCCACTTCACCCGCAAGATCCACATGCCATCGATTATGTTTGCCCCAGGAGGGGGAACCTCGTCAACGTAGGTGCCTATGGAATTTTTGGGATCCATCTCTGCATCCACGGGTGTTTGCCACTGAGAGGAGTATTCACCAGAGATCGCCTCTGCGTAGGAGCGCGGGGTAGGGATGTCTAGTGCAACTGGGTCTTCCTCAGGGCAAAGCAGCATGAAGCTAGATGAGGTACAGCAGCCGTGAGGCACTCGAGCTGAAACTGCCTATCCTCAAGAACGTAACTGCCAAGGGCAAGCTCACTTCCGACAAATAGAGGACAGTCAGACTCAGACTCAGTAACGAGACTCGCGAAGTAGTCCAGACGACAGGTAGCAACAAAGTCAACGAGCTCAGTGACTAAGGCACACGCAACGGTAGACTCAAACAAAGGGTCAGTGAAAAGGGTGGCCAGGAAACGCGTGAAAGTAGGACTACAGCACGAGCAAGGTCGGACTGAGGGTCAGGAACGTCAAGAAGAGAGGACACTGGAGGAGACGGCAGAGCAACACGCTGTAGAACAGAGGAAGGATGAAGTGTCATAGTGTGTGTGCCAGAGACAGGTGGAGGACGAGGACGGCAAGCACGACTGACAGTGTGAACAGGGGAGGCAGGACGAGACTCAGACTATGACTGGTAAGGAGAGGGAACAGGGAGTGGTGAGCCAGGCAGGACTGGTCAGGCAGAAGACACAGGAGAGGTGGAATAAGTCCAGGGGAAGACGGAAGACTAAGAATCTGGTGGTAGTGACGGCTGCGGCTGCGGGAAGAAAAACATTCCCGCTGCGCAGTACCCACAGTACGAGAGCCTCCAACTCCAGTACCTCCAGCACCAGCACCTCCAGTACCTGTATCGCCAGTAGCTCCAGCACCTCCAGCTCCAGCACCTCCAGCACCAGCAGCTCCAGTACCTCCAGCACCTCCAGCTCCAGTACCTCTAAAACCTCCAGCTCTAGTACCTCCAGCACCTCCAGCTCTAGTACCTCCAGTACCTCCAGCTCCAGCACCTCCAGAATCAGCAGCTCCAGTACCTCCAGCTCCAGTGCCTCCAGCACCTCCAGCTCCAGTACCTCCAGCACCTCCAGCTCTAGTACCTCCAGCACCAGCATCTCCAGCACCAGCAACTCCAGCACTAGTACCCCAAGCTCCAGCACCAGAGCGGTCTCGTCGAGTAACCCACTCGCAAAGCTGCTGCGGCCAGAGAGTCTTCGGCTGTCGTCCCTACGGAGTAACCACATTACCAGAGCCTCCAGCTCCAGTACCTCCAGCACCAGCACCTCCAGTACCTGTATTGCCAGTTGCTCCAGCACCTCCAGCTCCAGCACCTCCGATACCAGCAGCTCCAATTGTCAACATATATTTCATAGGTGTTGTTTAGGTTAGTCTAGGTGTTACATTTCTACTTCCTTGCATGATTAGGGTTTGCTAGGGTTTTACTTCACATTTTCTATCAATTCATTACATTTTCACAAGGTATTGAGCTTGGTTCACCCTACGAGATTTTTCCTAAGGAAATTCTCTCGACTAAGTTATGGGCCCACCTAGACGCGCCCCGTACTAGATAGTCGCTGGTAGCGCGCTGAGCCTGCCCGTCGCCCGGTCCCCCCCCCCCCCCCCCCCCCCCCCCCCCCCCCCGCCGTCGCCCGTTACCCGTTTTCTCCCCGTCATCCGTCGCCCGTCGATTTACGGGCGCGCCTCGCGGCTGATCGTTAGAAGACCCCGCGGCCAATTCGATAGCGGGCCCCGCGGCCATTTTGATAGCGGGCCTCGCGGCCTTTTTGATAGCGGGCCCCGCAGCCCCGTCGTTAGTCACACGCACGCACAGCAGCAGCCGCGCGCACGTGCAAATCGTCGCCCGACCCGTTACCCGCCGCCTTAAACGCTGCCCCACCCTTTTACCACTTCCTTACCCGCCGCCCCATCTGTTAGCCGCCGCCCCACCCGTCACCTGTCGCCCCACGAGCTGAAACCGCCACCATACCTGCAATCCGCCGCCCCACGAGTTGAAACCGCCACCACACCTGAAATCCGCCGCCCCACGAGTTGAAACCCGCCGCCCCACCTGACACCCGCTGCCCCACGAGCTGCCTCACCCGCCGCCCCACCAGTTAGCCTCAGCCCCACCAACTAGCAACACCTGGAAACCAGAGTCTACCACCCGTACCCTCAGAACCGCACAGAACCGCACAGAACCGCATTGAACCACACAGAACCGCACAGAATCGCACTCCACCCGTGCTAGCTCCCCTGGAACTGCACAAAACCGCGCTTCACCCGTGCTAGCTCCCCTGGAACCGCACACAACTGCACAGAACTGCAGAGAACCGCACTCCACACGTACTAGAGTAGGCTGCCCCCAGCAGAACGAGCAGCAGCGTAGGCTGCCCCCAGCAAAACCAGCAGCAGCGTAGGCTGCCCCCAGCAGAACGAGCAGCAGCTTAGGCTGCCCCCCAGCAGCACCAGCACTAGCGTAGGCTGCCCCCAGCAGAACCACCAGCGGCATAGGCTGCCCCCAGCAGAACCAGCAGCAGCATAGGCTGCCCCCAGCGCACCAGCAGCAGCTTAGGCTACCACCAGCGCACCCCCCCCCCCCCCCCCCCCGTATCTAGCTCCTCAGATGGCGTGTACTAGAGTTCTACAGCAGCAGGGCCAGCCGCAGCACTCCCGGCAGTGGGGACCTGCGGGTCCAAAGTGTGGCGCCCCTAGCAGTGACTCAGCTGGCAGTGAGCGAGACGTCGGCTCCTGCGGGTACCGGGCCCTGACAGGCCCTGGTGCTGGCACTACCTGCTGGACACTCTGCGTCCAGCTGCTACCGTCGACTCGACGACCTCCACCGTGAGCGTTTTGGTCCTCACACTATTACACCGCACTGGCCCTCACGTCTTCGCCAGCGCACTGCTGCACCAGTTGAGTCTCACCTGCCTAGTCTAGGACCGTTCCTGTCTGCACGAGTAGAGACCTGTGTTTACAGTCTTGGTGTGTGTGTTGTTTCCAGTCTAGGCGCCTCTGAGGGTCTTTGCGTAGGAGCTGCGGCTACCACTAGTCCAGCACCAGCCTTTGTTGCTAGTTCGGGTGCGACCCCACAGACTGCATGGCTTTCGTTCACCCTACACTCTGGAGCGTCGAGCTGTTTCTTTCGCGACTGTACTGACCTCACACCACTGCGCACTCCAGTCACTATTGCCTTGGCTGAACCCTCTGTGGGACGTGTAGTTGCTCGCAGCACCACCACTCTCCCGTGTCCGGCGGCTCCCTCAGGTTTTCTTACAGGCTACTACACCCCCTCGTTCTCTAGGAACCTGGTGGGTGTCAGTCACCTCCACGACCTAGGAGTAGTCACCACTTTCCCACAGGACGAGCCTGTTGCCTCCTGCACAGTCAGTACCACTGGGGCCCCTCTGGTCTGTACTCACTACACACTGGGTCCCACCGAACTGGGTCGGGCCAGGTCAGGTCAGGTCAGGTAGCTGCTGTGTCGTGCGACTGTCGCTCCCTCACCCACCCGTCTGTCCTCGGGCATCACCGTCTAGGTCACCCGTCGTTCCCACGTCTCAGTAGGATGGCATGTTACTGTCTGGTCTTAGGTCTTCCAGAGTCGCTTGCCCCGCTTCCTCGTTCGCCTGCGCCGCTGTGCACTCCTTGCGTCGAGGGTCGGCAGCGCGCTGCCCCTCACTCCTCCTCGTTCCCCCCCACCACGGCTCCCTTCCAGACCCTGCACTTGGACGTCTGGGGCCCCTCCCCAGTCCTTGGACCACGTCAGGAGCGCTACTTCCTGATTGTGGTGGATGACTACTCCCGCTACACCACGGTTTTCCCCTTGCGACAGAAGGCCGACGTGCCTACCGTCCTAGAGCCGTGGCTAGTAGCGTGGGGTGGTGCCCAGGGCCTGTGTGGGCTTTGCCTACACTCAGACCGTGGTGCTGAATTCTCTTCCACTCGTTTGGAGACGTTCTGTCAGGGTCTGGGAGTCATTTAGTCGTACACGCTACCAGCCTCGCCGCAGCAGAACGGGGTAGCCGAGCGTCGCATCGGCCTGGTCATGGAGGTTGCCCGGACCTCTGTGTGCCATGCCGGTGCCCCTCAGTTCTTGTGGCCTCAGACCGTCCGCTACGCCGCGCACCAGCTGAACCTGTGGCCCAATGACGCACGGCCACGGGTGACGCCGGTCTCTCTCTAGTCAGGTTTACAGGGCGTAGCAGCTGACTTCCGCGTCTGGGGTTGTCTGACTCACGTTCGCGCCCCTGGCGCGAACAAGTTGTCTCCGCGCACTCGTGCCTGAGTCTTTCTTGGCTTCCCGTTGGACGCCTCCGGCTGGGTGTTCTACGACCCGGTCACCTGCGGGTTCTTCGCTTCTCAGGACATCACGTTCGACGAGTCTGTCTGTTACTACACGAGTTGCCCCCACCGAGGTACTGAGGTCTTTCCCCCCCCCGCTGTTCCTCACCTTTGAGCCCCCCCCAGTCGCCCCAGTAGCCCCCCCCGCTTCGCGTCCTGCCCCGTTAGGTGTGTCGCACGTCACTCCGCAGTCGTCCCCCCCGCAGCGTCCAGTCCCTGTTGTGTCTGGGGGTGCGGGAGGTGCAGTTGCGGAGGGTGAGGCTGCTGGGGCTGCAGGAGCTCGTGGTGTCGGTTCAGGGGGTGTAGTGGGTGTGGGTGTGGAGGTCACTCCCGTGGAGGACACGGCAGCCTCGAGTCGGCGGCCTCGCCCCGCCTCACCCCCCGGCTTCCCAGTCATCATGCAGTTCCCTCCTCGTTCTCCTCTGCGGCCGGTTGCTGCAGAGCTTGGGGGTGCTCCTACGGGAGGTATTGGAGGCCTCGGGGGTGTCACTAGTGGAGGTGCTGGTTCTGGGAGTGCTGGAGCTCGAGGCACTCGCACTGCGGCGCCTACATCTCGCACTGTACGTTTCCTGACCCGTGAGCAGCGTCTCTTCCGGTTGGAGAGGGAGGAGCGTGAGCGGTTTGAGAGGGCACAGCAGCAGCAGCAGCAGCAACAGCAACAGCAGTAGGAGCTGCAGCAGCAGCTACAGCAGGAGAAGAGAGTAGAGGAGGAGTCATAGCAGCAGCACGACAGGGTAGAGCAGGAGTCCCGGTGGCAGCAGCGGGTGCAGCTGCAGCCGTAGCAGGAGAGGGTAGAGGAGGAGTCACGGCCACACCAGGAGAGGGTAGAGCAGGAGTCCATCCCACAGCAGCAAGTGCAGTTACAGACCCAGCGGGAGAGAGTACAGGAGGAGTCACGGCCGCACCAGGAGAGGGTAGAGCAGGAGTCCCGCCCGCAGCAGCAGGTGCAGTTACAGACCCAGCAGGAGAAAGTAGAGGAGGAGTCACGACTGCAGCAGGAGAGGGTCGCGCAGGAGTCCCGCTCGCAGCAGCGGGTGCAGCTGCAGTTGCAGCAGGAGAGGGCAGAGGCGGAGCCACAGGAGCAGCAGCAGGGGCCGGTGCCGTAACAGCAGACGCCAGAGGAGGCGGAGCAGCAGCGACTGCGACTACACGACCTCCCCGACCCAGCACCTGCACGCTTTGTTCGTGGTCCCCTACCATCCCCTCCTGTTGAGTCCCTTTCCTCCTCCCAGTGAACTCGTCGTTCTCCCCTCAGTTGTGCTGTGTCCCCAGAGCGTCGTCGGTCCCGTTACCGTGCAGACGGTCCATTCCACCTTGTTCTTTGCTCTCGTGTTCCACCTCCTCCTGTCCTTCCACAGCCCCCTGAGTCGTTCCTCACTGTGCTTCACGACCCGTTGTCCGACTACCTCCGTGCCTCTCGTCTTGTGGTCTCCCGTGTTTTGTCCGCGTTGGTCTCTCACCCGACTGCACCTCTATCGTCTGTTTCGGCACTTGTTACCACTGTCGCTGGCTTTGCCTCTTCCCACCGCCTTGACTACGTCGCTCACTTGGTGAGTGGCCCTGCTCGTTCTTCGTTCTCTGGAGGTGCTCGTGTTTTTCCCCTAGAGGTCCTCGAGGACAGGCAGTTCAAGCTTGGTTTTCTTGCGGCCGCTTTTCCTCATCTCTGTGCCATGTTGCTTGTTTCTGAGGGGGATCTAGACGCTCTTGACATCCCAATCCCTCGCACTCACGCCGAGGCGGTCTTGGGACCTTGAGCTTCGTACTAGATAGCAGATGAGGAGGCAGAGATGGCATCTTATAGGTCCACAGGCACTTACGTCGACGTAGTCCCACCACCTGGGACGAACGTCGTCAGTGGCCGATGGCTCTACAAGGTGAAGCGGCCACCTGGATCATCACCTGT